CAGCAGCAGCAGCAGCAGCAGCAGCAGCAGCAGCAGCAGCCGCAGCAGCATCTTCGATGTCCCCCGTTCAGCCTGTAGGGCGCTCACGGAGTAACAATAAAACGTGAAAGATAAATGCTTAAAATAGCACCCAAACAGTCAAAATCAATGGCACTAGGCTTAATTCTGGGTGAGGAGCATGGGTTGTAAGAGAAGGGCACAGCAGGCATGCAGAAAGACCAATGAAATATCAAAAAGCATCTTTAGGAAGAGGAGCGTTGGAAAGTGATTGCATCTGGCAACTTGGCCCATCAGAAATTGGGGTCGTTTTCTCTCCTATCTTAGGTCGTCACGGAGCCACCCAATGGGTTGAAGCTGAACATGAGAGCGACCTTCTTCAAAATCCCCCACGAGTCCCTCGAGCAGTGTCAGCACCCAGCTTTCAAGTCCCTGGTCTACGTCTTAGCGTTTTTCCACGCTGTGGTCCAGGAGAGAAGGAAGTTTGGGAAGATTGGTTGGAACGTGCCCTATGATTTCAATGAATCAGATTTCCAGGTAATCTGCATTTTGTTTCCTAAGGAGTTGCAGGTCAGGATCCTCTCTGATCGAGGAGGGCCTCCAAAAGACATGGGGACGAACCAGAGCCCTGATTTTTTAAAGTCCTGTTTTACAACTGACACAGCACAAATATCTTTAAGAAAAGAGGCATCAGGTCATTGCACATGAAAGGCAGGACCTAACGTTTCTTAAGCCAGTTGTTGAAGGATCTGTGCTTATTTTTTTTCCTGCAAATTGACAGTATAATCAGTATCTCTCTGCTACAGCCAGGGGCAGTGACTACTCACAGATATTTGGATTTTCCATCTTGCTTTGAGGAAGGAGGCCAATTGTCATATTAGGAGCAGGAGGCTGGGAAGGCTAAACCAAGCAAGGTCCTGAGTGATTAACCCATGGATTTTTCCTCCCACCCACCCCACAACTCCATCAGGTCTGCATGGAGATTCTCAATACATACTTGACAAAAGCTTTCCAGCAAAATGACGACAAAATTCCATGGGGGAGCCTGAAGTATCTCATTGGAGAGGTGAGCAAGCAGTTGGTAGTTTTATTGCTCCAGATGACAGGTGGGGTTCAAAAAGGATCACAGGAACCTGCTCAATATTGAATCAGATGACCCAGAATTACATCTTCTGACTATCAGGGGGCTCTAAAGCAGAGTACTCTTCCCCCCCCTTCCAACAGGCTGACAGGCCTTCTACTCAAGATCCATTGAACTGAACACACTGGGATATTAACCCATTGACTTCTATAGGCAAAGGTCTTGTAAACTCTTAATCTCAGTTCTTGAGAATCTGATCAGAAACAAATGCAGTTGGTTACATCTCTACCTGCACCTGGTTATTTCAAAATTTGAAAATACTTTAAAACTTTAAAAACAGCAAACATGAAGTTCTTGCCTTTCTTCCTAACATCTCTTAATTGGTTTGTTTACTGTGGCGTTATCACCTTGCCAGTTTTTTTTAGATTCCTGCGGGCTAGAAACCTGGCTTAAACAGAACAATCTGAGAATAGTGGGGATTCTGTGCTGCTGAAAATGACTTAGGCCAGGGTTTGGTGCCTAACAAACGTTATCCCTGATGTAGACAACCTACAATCAATTGTTCAGTGACTGTTCAAAGTTATGATGGCACTGAATGAATGGTGGTTACAACCGGTCCTCAGAGTTCCGGCCGTCCCAGCACCTCCGTGGTCACATGATTGCGATCTGGGTGCTTGGCAACCTGTTCACACTTACGACCGGTTGGCAAGCGCCCCCCAATCACATGATCGCCATTTGCAGCCTTCCATGTCGGCTTCCCCAGAAAGTCAAAGGGGAAGCTGGCAGGGAATATGCAAATTGTTGGGGTAAGTCTCCTCTACCCACGCACCCTCCCCCAGCCCCTCTGCACGTGCGCCACGCCAGCCACTTGCACATTCTCCAACCCATGTGTGCTTTTCGCACACTCCTCACACCCTCATGCACCCTCTCCATGCCACGCTGCATGTCTTGCGACCCTCCCTGACCCTTTCCCACACTCCTGCGCACTCTCTCTTTCCCTCTCCTACCCAGCAGCAGCCCCTTACTTGCCTGCAGGCCTGGGACTGACTGAAGCCAGCAGGAAATTGCCTTGCCTAATGACTGTGGGATTCAGTTAACAGTGGCAACTCGGACTGCAGGATTGTTGTTGCTAAGTGATGCAGTTGCACTTTACAACCACATCGCTTAGCGATGGAAATTCCAGTCCCAATTGCCGTTGTAAGTTGAGGACTACCTATAAATTGGTTTAGTATGCTAGAGCAGTACAGGGAAAAGTCCAGCTCAAATGCTGATAACAGTCTTGTCATGGTACCGATTTCCAGGTGATGTATGGCGGACGAGCCATCGACAGCTTTGACAGGCGCATCCTTACTATTTACATGGACGAGTATCTGGGAGATTTTATCTTTGATACCTTCCAGCCCTTCCATTTTTTCCATAATGATGATGTTGACTACAGAATCCCCGAAGGGACATCAAAGGATGATTTTGCTGGTAAGGGGTCAGCTTTCTCACTGTGTCTCTGAGATCTTTTATGGCTTCCTCCATAATGGATTTCAGCTTCTGGTTGGGTGTTTCTGGCTCCTCTCCTGCTCAGATACTTGTTTTTCACTGGCACACAAGTGGCTTATGAGCCTAATGAAACGAATGTTCCCATTGAGCATAACCCCCAATCGTGTCAATGGGACGTGCACAATTACACCCCTGTTGCCTTCACTTGGCAGTAAGATCTTATTTGTTAGTCTGTCTTTTGGGGGGGGGGCGTTCGTTTCTCTTAAATACTGCACATCATGTCCTTCAGCGTTTAAGGTTTGATCTGTCGGGGAGACAGCTATATTAACTTAGCACTCTTCCAGACAAAATTATCATTTTATCTTCATATTAGGGAACCTTAGCATAGGGATCCTTAGCCCTTCCATATTTTAGGCCCCGATTCTGCTTCTTT